GGTTCAAGAGCAAAAAATTTTAATAATTCATTCATGAATGATTTCAATTCGGTTGATGATCATGTTTTTCTTGTTTATTCTTTCCTTCCCCCTTATATGCCATTATTTGTGAAATATTAAGTGGCTTGGAAGTTGATGTGGCGGATGACTATTGCGCTTTTATATGTTTTGCAACTTAATAAATTTTTGACAGCATTTCTTCAATCCCTCAACAAGTTTCCAATGTTTTAAACATTTAACGGTTTTAAAAACTTTAAACTTAAAGGTTTTATCGAAATTTGAAATTTTCAATCACAGCCAGTCAGCCAATGGAACAATCTGAGTCAAAAACTCTCAAATTACCACAAAAAAAATCAATAAATTCTGATGAATAATAACGAAGGCTATTAATTGCAGTCAATATTCAAGAAAACATTGATTGACTTTCAGTACCCATAAATTGAAAATATAAATCAGATGAAGATGGGACCGATAAGTGCTTCAGATATATCTTTTAATTTAACATAACATGAATGTTAAATCCCAAGACTCATACTGATGCCTATTCATCGTTTGTTATTTTTTTTTGGAGGCTGGAAATTGAAATGATATTCAAGAATCGAAGCTGCGTGCGAAATAAGGCATGTCTATCTGTCCTTTCTCTTTATTTTAATGCAAAGCATAAAGTAATTAAAAATCATACCTCATTCTCTATTAATTTTGTGTTTTTCTACCAAGTCATTGTTGAAATAGAAAAAGAATGCGTTCATCTCGCACACCACATTAGCTCTCCTTTATATTATACGATATAATTATAGGGTGCTTAGTAGCCTCAACTACCAATTCGCGAATAACGAGAACACAAAAAAAATTAAATCTGATCTGGTGTGTTGTCAATCAAAATGTTGCTCAATTGAAGAATAAGCAGGCAATGATGAGGTGAAAAAAAAAGTTCAAATATCCTTTAAATATCATCCAGGCATACATAGTTATAATTAAAAATCTTCTTAACCAGTTTCGTCTGATGAATTTCTAAATTATATGTCTGCTGATGATGATGAAAATTTGCATATATAGACTTTAAAGTTGCAGTCACTTACCATTATCATTATACTTGTTCTGGAATGTTCCCATGGATTGTGTAAGTGCTGCAATTACAACACAATTAACAATTTCCACGTCAATCTTAATTTTATTGAGGTTTAGGAAATTATTTTAAATTCTTAACGGAAATCTAATTTTTGAAAGACCATTTCGCAGTCAACTTCAAGTTGTACTTTAGAAGGTTTGATCAGCTTAGTAAATTAAAAGCTAATTAGGGGCCGTTCACTTATTACGTTCGCATTTTAGGGGGGAGGGGGGGTTTGAAAATTTGTAACAAAATGTATCATAAGGGGGGGGGTGTCAAGAAGTATGTAACGTTCCAACTGTCGTCTGTCTTTTAAAAAAAGTTCACGAAAATTTGTTTCCAAATTCACACCAAAAACATTTTTTTAAATTTTCCACCTTTTTAATGATAAAATAAATTATGAATGTTCAAGGGGGGGGGGGGGGGGGGGGTTGTGAGTTGTAACATACTGTAACAAGGGGGGAGGGGGGTGAAAAAGGTCTTTTTTTTGCGTAACGTAACAAGTGAACGGCCCCTTAGAGCTTAAAAGCATATCCATAAGATCACACAACCAATAAATCAAATAAAACAGATCAAAATCAGCACAACAATCACCAAAACTTCCTTTGTAAACAAACACAATCATCAAAAATTACTTTTATCAAACAATTTAGCTCATTATCGCGGAACTTCCAAAGTTAAATGCATTCCATTGTACATGCATAATCTGTATATAGATGTATACCTAAAATAATAAGCCAACCACAAAGTATCTTATCGCAAATTTATGTAGAAAAAAAAGAGGAGTAAAGAGAGTGGAAAGTAAAGATCAAGTGGCGTCTCAATTATATTATTGCACACACATAAAGCTGATTATAAAGTGCACGGCAATTAATTAATGAAATGATCTTAATTATTTGCTTGTATATAGTCGGCGCTTATTATGTCATGTGTTTTATTAAATGTCTCACACGGTTTTTTAATGTACTTGTTTTCCTTGTGTTTTATGTGAGAAATTCGGGTGCTGAAAATAAAAGTTTTTTTTTGAATAAAAAGTAAATTTCCCGTTGATCTACTTTCTTGATGCTCACTCTTGTTCATTTCCTCTATTTAATGCATATGTCTATGTGTGTAGATATTTCTGTCTCAAAAAGTAATAAAGAAAAAATAAATGTTACCTACATTTGTGTAAATATTTGATCATAGAAAACATTTGTGATCTGTATTTGCCAAAAAGAAAAAAAAGAGACATCGTCAGTATATAGAGTCTATTTCCCATATTCAGTCAGTTACGATATAAGCATCATGTGGTAAGCACAATACAAATGAAATTTAAAAGGCTCCAAAAAGGTGGAAAAATTTTTAATCAGCACCTATGGAAATTTCCCAAGCCATTAAGCACTTGTTTAAACTTCGTTCAGATTAAAGGTATAAAACAAATTTGGAGGTTTTTTAAATTTTAAATAGCTCTTCATTGCGCTTTCCATATGCTACATGGCAAAACACTTAAAATTGATTAAAAATTAAAAGGTTCTTTAAAACTAGTTGCTGAATGAATTCAGTCTTATCAATGAACATATTAAACCACGTTTTTTCTTTATGTCGAACCGCTGACATAGGAACAAATTATTTCTATACATACATTTTTTTTGTCACAAAAAAAAGAGACGATGAAAAACTCAAAAAAAAAAAAGACTTGTGATCATGAAATAATTTTAGAGTTCGATGACCTTGCGTATAACGCACATGCGAATGAGATTAAACTATTAGTCGGACTAAGAAGAAGACGAATATATTCGACTTGATAAGATACGCAATGCGATCACAATTTAAATCAGATTGCGTGTGATGTGAAATTACTCGTTCATTTATCATGTAGGCAAATAAAAAGTTTTGTGAGTTACTATTTTTAACATCTTAATAATAATCATTTTTTTTCCTTCATACGATCAGTGTATGTAGATCTAAGTTTTTGACTCGATATAAATTGGACATCACGATGTTAAATAAATTTAGTCTAATCTAGTTTGGTCGAGTGAACGAATGTGGAGTTGCAGTCAGTGAAAAAAAATATCTTTTGAGTCTACTGACATATTTACTGACCCAGAAACTGAAGTGCATTATTAATCTGATAAATCAGACGATCCCAAAAATTGAATCAATTAAAATTAAAAAAAAAATCTCTCAAAAAAAATGTTCAAGGAAAAATAATTTTTGTGCTCGAGAAACCAACACAGCAGCATCAAGTGTGTATGATGATAACTTATTTATATATACAAATATTTTATTTACTACATAACACCCAGCCACATATGATTATCAATCTAAGTAGGAAAAAAAACAGCTGATTTGCCAACTGTTGCCTTATTGTCGCATTTTGATTGTGTGCGTAACTTCTGCATGACGATGACGATAGCTTTAAAATTGCTTGCATTTGATTTTTCTTATCAAATTAATTAATTTTTTTGGTTTTAATTGTGCTGCGTATGTTGATAAATTAAGAGAGTCTGAATCTTTTTTTGGAATGATGACTCATCGCTATAGATATGAAATTTTGGGTGATTCTAGAAAATTCTATCGATCAAATCGTGTTTTGAGTGGTTAGAGATAATGTTGGGAGCTAAAAGCTTGATAAAAGATAAGTTGAGCATTTTGGGAGAATTTTCTGAAGACAATCTTGATTTGAGGAATGCAACTGATCATATCCAACTTAAAACTCCATAACTAGGTTTGAATACTAAATTCACATTCCATAAAACTCTGCTAGCTTCACAAACCGTCCATTTTGCGTTCATTAAACTCATGTCCCGGATAATGAGATTCAAGGAATCGCCAACGATGACATTTATTGAATTTAATTAAAGTAATTGATTCTCTGCATAAATAAAATTGAAACTGAAGAGAAAAAAAACGAGTATCGACAATTATGTGAACTGAATCACATAAATATGAATTACATATTTTATTAAAAATCACTGTCAAACTAGCTTTAAAGCCCGCAACAGATTCCTTTGTGTACATTGACAATCTACATGCATTGTTCTACATGGCAATGAAAAAAAAAATATTCAATAAAAGGAAAGAGGAGAAAAATTAAACTTGAACTTGACAAAAAGGAGAGAAATAACGAAAGCCGGGTACGGACGGAGAAAAAAAAAAAGAAAGCAAAAGTCACAAAAGAATGAAAAATTCCATTGCACTGCTTTACTCTCCACTCCCTCGTCTGGGAAATGCATGTAATATAATGCATTGAATTTTATTATTTTTTGGGGATGAAGAAGAAGCAGCGCCAGAACATTTAATTCAAGTTCAAGCATTGTACATTCGCTTCGAGCCACTCAACTTCTTTTTCAATAAAAAAAATTCATGAATATTTGATTTTAATCTTTTGCGGTTAACGAAAAAATTAAAAATTAAAGTAAGGAACTAACCTTTTTTTTCAATTTTCAATCTTAAAAGGTATTTACACTTCTTCACAATGCAATTACCACACATTTTTTTTTGTTCTTTATTTTGTGGTATGTTGAATGATAGGAGAAACATTCTTCACATAAAACCACAAGCGAATTCAGTGCCTTTGTCATACCATAAATGAACATTTAAGAATGAAAAATTATTTTTTGAGAATTTGAGTTTCTCAAGTCAAAATATATATAAAAAAATTTTTGGACAAAATAAAAAGCGACAGCGAAGAAGGGGGAAAAAATGCCGAAATTTCTTAGAATCACTTTTCTCACACACAAAAACATGCAGTATGCATTTGCGCAATGATACATCGTCGCTCTCTTATGTCAACCTTCTTGTCGAATTATTAATGATGCATTTATGCATTTAATGAAGCATGCATTATTTATGGAATGGAATGTGCAGTTTTATTTAATAAAAATCTCTTTTTGTTTGTCTCTTCTTTCAGGATACTGAACTGTTGGTGCTCGGCTGCCTTAAATGGGACGTCTCATGTGTGACACCGCTCGATTTTATCGATCTAATCATTTCACGCTTACCAATCATTAATAAAAATTGCAACGACATTGATCCCGAGAAGATTAGAAAACATGCTCAAGCCTTTATATCATTGGCTGTACGAGGTAAGTGGATATTTATGATTATTTTTTAAAATTCTCATTTTATACGTGTATTGTTCATTCATTTTAAACCACAAAGGATTTATCCTTTAATCTTATTCGAATGTTTTTTTTGAGATAATTGAAGATGCAAACAGAATCAATCGATGCATAAACCCTAAACACAATCCTCAATATAGTCTGATAATTGATGGTTTGAGATAAATTTTGTATTTCTTCATAAAATGGATCGGATCATAAAGCGATCAGTTGCCGGGGGTATGCAACTTTATTCGTTTTCATTTTTAACGATTTTTAAAGATTCAAACTCATTTTTAAGTTCAAAAAGTTTGTCCAAAGTTTCCGTTATTTTACACAACATTTTGAAAAATGCGCAGTCCAAAAACCATACAGAACTGCAAAAGTGGCACCCCCTTGAGATCAGCAGAGTTTTAGAATAAGAAGATTCTTCAAATGGTGGTAATCTGAAGATAATTACAAAGATTCATCAAATACCTTTTCTCCTTACTTTATATGTGCTTCTTCAGTATATATTTCGCGATTCCTTCATTTTCTACATCGTCTTCATGATTTAAATTAGAATCTCAGGCAGTATGTAATACCATGCGCGGTGCATTTAAAAAGAATCAATGCAAGCAACAACGGAAACGAATGATTAGGGAAAATTTATCATGTACACACATAGCGATTATGATGATCGAATATAGGCGCAGATTTCATGCTTATGGGTTTGCTCCTTTGATTATTATTCTTCTCAACCTAACAATGGCTTATGTGCGGTATAGCTTCTTAAGTAAATCGAAACATATTTAATGTGTTATTGTTACTTCGCAATTCATTCTTGAAAATATAAAAAATATTAAAAAGAATTAAAATGAAATCGAAATGAAAAAAAAAGAGAAGAGGGGAGAAGCTCGTGTGAACCTTCGCGACCTCGCGCCCATCAAGTAACAATTAATCAAAAAAATCATCTTATTCTGGTATGGATGCTATCCTGCCAAAAATATTAAATGTGATTTATCATTCAGCGCGAGCTAACCGGCACCAGATTCCCTAATAATAATAATACAATAATAACAATGTGTGTATATAGCACAAATCACTTTTTATGTTAATGGGGAGGTTTGAAGAGATGAGAGCAATGTATAAAGGAATAAGAATTCCACATGATCGACATATTTCAAGCTCCAATTCTTTTCTTACAAGCATCCCGCGCCAGCTTCAAAAAATAAACATATTCTTCCATTAATGTTCTTTACATGTTATTATTGTTTGTTGTTTGTATGAACAGCAGAAAGGAAGAAGTAAAGAATTCCATATGAAAAATTTAAACTCGCGAATAAAACAGACATACAGAAAGCATACATATATGAGAGAAATGATCATAATTTGATGAAATATTGAGCGCAAAAAGGAGCCTCTAACCGGGGTAGAAAGAACGAATACGCAAAAAAGGCTATGGAATGAAAAACAACAAGCCGCACAAGTCGTATGAAGCACAAAAAAAATTATATTTCCATACTCTACTTCTTATTCCCACGAAATTGTTCTTCTTTTGGGATTTAATTGCGATTTTTTCAAAAGAATTGGATCCTTTTGTCTTTTTTTTAAACTGATGCTATACTTAACATGCCTCATCTACCTGCCAGCCTCTAAATTCATTCAAATTATTTCACAAAACAAGTGCCGTACATCAAGTTTCATTGATTATTGATGAATCACTCGGCAATGAATAGATTTCGCATGTTTATGATCTAGTTAAACAACGTGATGCCGATGACGCCCACGCAAATAATTATACATCTCATCTGCATCACTGTTGGAATAAATAAAAAAATATATTTATAAACATTCATGGAATGTCACGGATGGAATTTCATCGATGATTGAAAGGATTAGTGAATTTCTTAGAAATCTTTAAGAGGCGCGCGCTCATTCTCGTACCAAAGTACCGTGAGAAACGGAAATTGAAAGTTATTTTTCATAAGTCCAAAGCAAGCAATCTACACATCAAATCTCACTCACTCACTTCAACTTATTTCGCACTGTTTGGTCCAGTGACTTGGCGAATAAAAGGGCGAAAAAGGAGAAGCGATTTACTGGAAATCGTGTGATAGATAGACGTGTATTAAATGAGAGGAGCCAACAGGAGGCAGCAAGAAGGAATAAATATAATATTATATATTTTTTATATGAAAATTATCATGAGCCATGATCAACATTTGAAATGAAGCGCGCCGGCACCCCCATTGTGCCACTTTACACAACATAGAAATCCCCTAATCTCTTATTGGACTCTATAACAATGTGATGATGAAGTAGTTTTCATTTTATTGTCCATTATTCTTTTTACCTATCATTCGTTTATTTTATATGTTTTTTTTATTCTCCCTTTTCGCACATTATTCGCCATCCATACTCAAATTCCTTCAGAATATTATTTTTTAAGAATTAAATGACTGCATCTTATATAATGATAATAACAAGATACATGTTAAAAAAATAAATGTATTAAGTAAGAAGAAAGGAACGATGAACGAGAATTATTATTGATAAATCATTGGCATATTTGTATTTAAATTTAAGAAACCACAAAACTTTGATTACCACAAAAATGCTCATCATTGACTCAATGGAATTTTTGGAGGCAATTTTTGTGCTTTGTTTGTGAATTTAAGCTTATTTTGTCTTAGTGACTGAACTGCAAATAAGCAGATGTCTAATTAGAATATGCTAGATAAAAATTCTATTGACTAAGTTATTAGGTTACACACTTAATTAATTAAATATTAATGAGTCAATGACTTCATAGAAACCTTGCCAGCTGTTGACACAAAAGACTTAATTGACTGCTCATCAATATTAGACTTTAGAATTTAAGCTCCAAAAGTGCGCGTTAGGCATTTAAACAAACAATATTCCCTTAAGCAATCATCTCATCCCTTTACATTCATACAGTCGACAAGAATAATTGATCTAATTTGCGTCTCTCACTTCACAAATAATTTCTAATTTGCGTCATGAAAATAATCTTGAAAAGAATGTAAAAGAACATTGTAAGAGTCTGAACATATATAATCATTTAGGATCAGCTTTTTAAATGAGAGCTAATATCAACAGACAATGTAAAGAGATACACAGAGACATAAGAAATGATTTTTATAGCTTTAGCAGCGCGAGAAAACTACCAACAAAAAGCATTAAGAAATTCTAGAAAAAAAATATTGTCCGAATAGATGAAACAATGGCAACAAGAACTAGAAATCATTTGGTCTTTTAAGGAACAGCAACAAACATATTATACGCTTACTTATGATTATTATTATTATTGATTGTAGTGCGAAAAAGAAAAGGAACTTGCCGACAAGTCGCGCGATAGAAAAATATTTGAAAAATTTCCTTCAAATATTAGGCAATGTAGCTTGAATTGAGGTGAGGATACCCAAGCAAATTGACCTTCACGAAAACGACGAGAAGAAGAGTATTAAAAAATTTTATAGGCCGCATAGATAGATTTTCTCGTTCTGTCTTATTGGAAGCTTTTTTTCGATTGATTTATTGTTACATATTCAGTGCCTATTGTGAATGCCAAATGAGCTCGATTGGTGATCGTTTCTCATCGAACAAAACACAACACACAATATTATTAGAGCTGTTGATGAGGATGAAAATCGATAGAATGAATAGAGATATTTCGCGCCTAATTTTCATAGTCAAAAGGCTCTTTATTAATCCGATCGGTCCAATATATCCCATTGCGTCTGTGTCTAATGCCTTGTGAAACAGACTTAATTATATTAAAATTATTATTTAATGATGATAAAGTGAGATCGATTCAAGCTCTAATTATTAATGGCAATTCCGCTTATTTCTATACTATTTATTCAAGCCCTTCCTACCTCACCTTCCTCAGCAACCAGCCTATATCAATAATTACAATGTTTGGGAATCTCTTTAAATATTAAGTGAGATTCATATCGCATTTACTGTCTGATTTGAAGGAAATACAGAATCATATGATGTGTATTTCAGATTCTCAGATTTTAGTCAAGTTCTGCGTTAATGAGTTTCTTCTTAGATGCCTAATAATGATTTTAAATAAAATCTTAAAGAGATCTCAATCATCTCTCATATATGAGTCTATCTTATATGTGCCGACATCATGTTTGGATTTAATTTTTTTGATCTAGTTAAAAAGTATTTATTATCGACAAGGCACTTAAAAATTATTTGGCAACAATAAAAATACGTATTAATGTCTGTAAGTCCTTATACAAAGCAGCAGCGATGAATGAGTAGTCCCGAGTTTGACATGTGTGGATTGTCAATCTGGAAGTCTGACAGATGATCAGATTGGGTGGTCAGACAAGATACCTAACCTACTGTTCCAGCTTCTAGATGTCTAAATGATGAGTTCTGATAGACTCGAACCTAGGAACTTTAAACTTTGTAATGGACTGTCAAAACTTCAAATTCATGCACCGCCAAGGACCCAATTAAGCCTTTTAAGAATTTATTCGATTCATTCTAATGTGTATTTTTGTGGACTCCTCCTCATCTCCTCTTCATCATCCTCTCTCGTCAATGAAACTTAATACATTTATTATCATCGTTCCAATGCTATGCCATTCTAATAATAATAATAAGTAAGTAAGTGGACAGCACAGAGAAAACAGAGAACAAGATTAATGGTGGTGGTCTTGTTATGTTATTTTTTTTATATCATATTATATACATATTGCTGCCGTACCATTTTCATTCATCACATTTGTGAACCAAAATTCCATTTGCGTTATTTTACCTTTTCTAATTTACACGGCAGATCGAATTTCTTTCATGTGACAGAATTTCAATATGTTGATGATGTGCAAAATAAATAAGATTTTATTATTTATCATACGAATTATGATGCATGTGTGCATAAAAGAGAATTTATTTATTCGACATTCTTCATTCCACCACCATACACATCTAATCTCATTTAAAGTTCTCTCAACTGTAAT